GCATTACAAAAACAACATATTTAGGGAAATATTTATGAATACAAGCATAATTGGTTCATCTCTGAAATGCTAAAAGCGAGTTCCAACTGTGCTTCTTCTCTTGCATGAGAAGGTACGATCTACTGGTTTACCTTCTCAAAGTACTCTTTGGAAGCAGTCGGATTTGGTTTGATTGTAGGAGAATCCGGTGTCCAGTTTGCTGGGCAGACTTCACCATGGGCTTCTACAAACTGAAACGCCTTCACCAAACGGAGGGTCTCTTCCACACTTCGGCCCACTGGGAGATCGTTGACACTCAAATGCTTGATGACTCCATTGGGGTCAATTATGAAGAGACCTCTGCATCAGAATATCCTCGTTAGTACCTCAACAGCACCAGAACGTCTGCCCTTTTATATCTTTAATTTTCCTTTTAATAAAATTAAGCTCTATAATATGCTTTTAATGTTATACAAGAAGCTTATAATCTCTTCATGATGACATATGTTTTAACAAAGGCAGGACTGAACCAGGTCACCATTGAAAACATGCGATATGGTCACATTTACAAATTCATAACTGTGCCCTGTCATACAGTATCTGAAAATCACTGAACTACAGTGAAGACTTTTTTACTTATTAGTGATTTGGCAAGCATTCTCCAGGCTTGAAATCATATCAAATCTGGGCAAGAAATCATAAGCAAATGGGAAGGGACAGAGATGTATATTAAATATTTATGTTCAATCAGTTATGTATTAAACGAGTGAATTCTTGGGTAAATGAGAGAAAATCCCATAGGAAAATCTTTGAAAAATTTACTAGTCCTAAGCTATGCAGAGCAGAAAACCAAGCCCATCACTTTTTATCACTTAGCAAGGTAACGAGATGACTCACAGTGGTCTGTGTTCACCTTCTGTGCTTATGTTACTGTGATACATACAAACATGTTTAACCTAGAGGTTTTTTATTTTTTCTTGAAATGATTTTTTTTTTCACTACGCTACTCAGGCTGGAGTGCAGTAGCTATTTTCAGACACAATCATAGCTCACCTAGCTGAGAACTCCTGGGCTCCAGTCATCCTCCCACCTCAGCCTCCTGAGTAACTGGGACATGTGCACACCTGCCCCAAGCTGTTTAGCCCAGAGATTTTAACAGCCCATCTTAAAAGAATGTGGGAATTCTAAGTGTTAACCACTCAGAGAAAAGGCAAGTTACAGAAAGCTCAAGGTAAACAGGTGCTCTTCTCCCTCCCTGGGCCTGGCACATGGGGGTCCCGGGTTTGAGGCTGAACTGGTCCTGGTGCTTGATCCCAGAGGTGAAGCCAGCTGAATCCACTGGTGAGCAGAGGCAGAGCTGGGATGGAGCAGGACCCATGGAATCCAGAAAGAAAGTCGCATCTTACTAGCCACACTCAGCTTTTCTCCGTTGTTATTCCTGACATTAAAACCAGTAGGGACTTAACTGCAAAATTAGCAACTCCCCACAGAGAAGGGGACTCTGGGATAAAAACAGCTAGCACTTTCTCCTGTCACTGCCAGTTGTGAAAGAGCCAGACTTTAGGTTACTAAAGGAAGACAGTAACCTTGGAGTCAAAAAGGCCCAAGGTTCACCCTGAGGAGAATAGGCCAGAGATCAGTTACAAGAGAGAACTGGTGAGCTGGGTCCTATCAAAACCCTGAGGCACAGCACATCAAGGTGGGACCTGCTCCTCCTTCCTGCAGGTCAAATTCTGCTTAGTCTCTTCTGTCTTCAGCAGATTTCAGGATGCCAGCTCTAAGGCTTTGATTAAGTTTAACCACAGACGGATACAGACAGAAATGACAATCTGGGACAGAAGTCATAACAGCTGCCTTTGCTAAAAACTCTAGCTACCCCACTTATTCAGTTTTTATACCTAATCCATGAGTTGGATCCTCATTCTAGTTATGGTAAAACTGGGGTCCAAACAGGTTAAACCACTTGCCCAAAAGTCATACAACTTAAGTAGCTGAGTTAAAAAAAAAAAAAAAAATTCAAGCCCAGGTGTGTTTGATTCCAGGAGCCATCCAAGATCATCACCACCCCAGAAGACTGCCTCTTACCCAGCTAGCCCTC